GAAAAGGCCAGATGTTTCCAAGTTTTGAAAGCATGTTTCAAACTGAGCCTGGATCTCAGCCATGAAGGCTCACTCTTGCCACAGGGCTGATTAATAGCTCCTTCTAACTTGCCAAATCTATATAACAGCAAGACTTCAGTATCTTAAGAAACAAGTTTGGACGAACTCTTCTGACAATGAAGAATGTTCTGTAACCCCTCTGAAACAATAACATGCTGAAACTGACATGCTATTTGGCTCAATTTAACCTCAAATGGCTCTGCGATCATATTCCATTTAACTAAAAACCTGGGGTTCAGCAGGCACCCTTGTGGAAAATGCCACAGACTTTCTAAAGGATTTTTCAGTCTGTTTTCACTTATTGTCTTAATCATGCCTTTGCAAGCTTAAAGGGTGAGAGATGTTTGTTGGTTTTTTCATTATCCTTTTTCTTTATTTTACTCCACACACATACTGGACCCTGATCAGATGCATATTCATTGAATGCTGAGTGGAGATAGTGTGTGTTCAAATAAAGTATAACTATAACATAACTTGGTCAAGCTTATTGGCAGGGTATGTTGTTTTCTTCTTGCTGCCTTGAACATCCCATGTGGACTTACAGGGCATGCAGTATCTTGCAGTTGCAGAATATACTTTTAAAAAAGGGTGGACCTGGAAAAAAGGTGCCGCACCCCAATCTTTGAGAACTTTGGAGAAATTCAGGTGCAGATCACATGTTTGCAGCTCAAGTCGATTGATGTGTCTTTTCTGTGAATTCTGGCTTGGATATTGCCACTTCCTGGGAAAGAAAAATGATGAACTTGAATGCAGACTGCTGGTCAACCGTTTCTGCATGTTTATTATTCTCGAATTATATTGTTCAAATTGTTCATATCTCATAGTTTTTGTCTGGCTCCTGATTAGACTGCTTCTGTAACTGAGAAATACATAATGAATTGTATATTTTTTATAATGGAACTTTAGTGAATCTAACTTAACCTTTTTACATTGAAAATCTTTTTTTTCATTAGCTTACCTGTAGGTGTGATTATTGATATGAATAAATTGGTCCTTTTTGTGTTCTACTTTCTGGTCCTGAATTTTAGGCTTATTCTATACACCATTTTAAAAATAATTCACATTCTCAAAATCTAAGGGATTTAGAATTCTCAGAAATTCAGGACCCTCCGATGTTTGAATGACCATTCCTAGGTTTCTTCTCAAGTCGGTTAGAGAGGTAAGGACTCCTTAGGGTGATTTCTTTTACTGGACTAACTGCATAGTTGGGACAGAGTTAGACAAGCTTTCAAATGCAAGACATTCTTCATCAGTACTGTCATCATATTCATCAGAGGATATTACTTTTTACACCTACTGAGATCAGCATATTGTATTGTACATCTGCTACTTTTCTGAAGGTGGGTTATGGACCAGAACAGGGGTGGGCAATTACTGGGGCTGGCAGGCCACTTAATGAATGCTGGTGACCTGTCAATGGCCACACCTCTTTCTCTCCTGGCAGCTGCTGGCCGTGTCCACAGCTGCCCAAATGAAGCCAGCAGCTTCTGGGATGGGGCTCCCAACATGGGGGGACCAGACTGGGGTGTACTACAGTTGCAGGCTGCAACCAGGACAAAAGTCTGAACTCGCCTGCAGCAGTAGCATTTCCTGCCTACCTCTCTCTGTGCCCGTAGCCCTACCTGGAAGCTGCTGCCTGCATTTTGGGAGCTGTGGATGCAGCTGGCAGCTGCCAGAACCCGACTCAGAGAGGGGGGCGTACCACAGTTGCGGGCAGGGTGATGTTTACCCTTCTGCATTGGTGGCAGCTCCAGCCCAGACAGAGAAAAAGAGTGCCTGGCACACCAGAAGCATCCCCAGCCACCCGGCACCATGAAGCTGCTAGAGCCAGAGCCACTGCCTGCCAGTGGGCTAGATCCATTCACTTGGCAGGTTCCCACCCACAGACCAGATCCAACAGTCAGTGGGCCAGGTCTGGCTCGCAGGCCATATTTTGCCCACCCCTGAACTATAATCTATGTGATCCATAGGAAAAGCTCTAAAGCAGTGGTTCTGAACCGGGGATACATGTACCCCCAGGGGGTACATGAAGCCTCATCCGGGGTACATGACATATATTTCATACATTGTCTAACACAGGTTGGAGGGCCTAAAAAATTTATTTCCCATTGAAAGGGGGTATGTGAAGTCTCACTCTGAAACCAAGGGGTACGTCAACTGAAAAAGGTTCAGAACCGCTGCATGATGGAACCTCTGGTTGCTGACATGGTAGATGCTATCTTGAACTTGCCCCTTCATGGTCTTTGCACATTTCTCACTGTCCCTCTAGTAAGATCTCCGACCAGCTAGCTTGCAGCTTACACTCAGTTTAGTCCTTTGCTCAGTTGCTCATTGCAGTGTTTGTGCCATGCACCTTTGTAAAAAAGGAATTTCAGACCAAGAAGCTATGTATAAACTCCTCACTACGTAATGCTACAGCAGAACTTTGTTGGCAGACATGTTCTGCAAACCCTGTTATTCTCATAGCTTTCTTACAAGGTTTCTAAAAAATAACTCACAATGGCCCCTCCTTCCATTCACACAAAGACTCCATTCAGAAAGCAGCTTGTTTGTCACCGTGACCTACCCAGCTTTTGGGTGGTCAAACTGTAACCAAGCCATTGCATTCTTTGAGAGGAGGGGAGGAGCTTTGTTTCTGAACACACTGAGAGACCCAGACTTCAGATTTAAAATAGCCCAGAGTCTAAGGGTGGATCTTCCCCCTTGAAACCCTAAATATGAGCCAACGAACTTACTGTAAGCTAATTATTGTGAGCTCCTTTCTGTTTAGACATTTGTAATGGAAAGATCGGTGACAAGACTTCACCGGGAACATGAGATGTTCACCCACAGAGAAGTCAAGAAAATCGGAATAGAGTTTTTTGCTGAGTTCAGAATACAGGTCTGACCACCAGGTTTAGGAGAGAAAGGATTTGCAATCTGATATCAAGCATTTGGGAGAAAGTGAGCCAGCCACTTTGAATAAATGATACAGAAGTCCCTTTGTGTTTAATGCCTTACAGATTTCTTTGCTCTCCTCTCCCACAGCCAGACAACAAAAAAATTAAAGTGTGCTCTCTAAGCACAACCTTCAGCTCCACCTCTGTTAATGATTTTCATTCCTGACCTACTACATTTTCTTCTGCCTGGGCTCACCCATGCCCCTCCCAAGGTGCCACAGTCTAATGCAGAGGTTCTCAATCTTTTTAGACTCACAGCACCCCTTGTTAGGCTAAAGACACCCCTCTGTAATTTGTGTGAATTGAGCTGCACCCTATGTCAAAAACAAATGAATTCATTACAGTGCTTATCTTTTTGCAGAGGGGCCAGGCAGCAGGGACAGGGGGAGCAGCCAAGTAGGGAGTGCGTCAGTCTGCCCTTATCTGCTTATCTTCTCACACCTGGAGCCTGAGCCTGCCCTTCTGTGTTTATCTGCGCCCACTTCCTGTGGCACCCCTCAAAGGATCTTGTGGCATCTCAGGGTGCCAGGGCATCTTGGTTGAAAATCACTGGTTTAATGGGTGTTCCTGTCTTAGGCTCCCCTCTACATCTTTCCTTTTCTCATTTAATTGTTTTCATTGCTACCTCCCCCCTTTTTGTGTGATAAGAAAGTGGTAGAACTGGATCAGCACTGGAAAGGAGATTCCCAAGAAAAACTCCAGGTTCTATAGCAAATGGTGTCAGCAATTCACTTGAGTCATTACAACATCAGCACACAAATACTGCATCTGCCACTAAGACAGAAAGTTTTTGCCCATTTTGCCCATTGTGGGTAAGGTGCATATTCTTAGCATACTTCTGGATACCCAGAAGCGGTAATATAAGATCATCTTAGGTGGTCATATGAAGCAAACATGACTCTTCTTGTGTGTGTGGCACAGAGGCTGCACCTTTGAAGACCACTTTGAAGCCATAGGGAGCCCAAAACGCATGACAACATTTACTTATCAGAGCTGGTCACAGGGAAGATGTTACATCAGTGCAGCAGAGATTAAAATTTGTTGCTAATTTGTTTCCAAGTGTAATCCAAAATGCTAATAATTGCCTTTAATCCATAATTTGGTGCCTGAGATGGCCTCTCATTTCCCAAACTACAGCCACAGATGTTGAGATCTTTCTCTGTGGGTTTTTACAGAGTCCTTTCTGCATAGTAAGGCTGGAGCATGTCTAGTGGAGAAGTCTCGGTTCATTTCCCACCGTGCTCTGACAAATCCCATTTTGATCCACTTTCAGGGCGAATGCAAAGCCATCTGTTTGCTCAGGCTTTGACTACAGGGATTAAGGTAGGAGGTGTTTTTATTTAGTGTTGTGTGATGTTGAGTTGTTACGTTTTAAACTGAGAACTTGCTTTGCCACTTAACAGGTTGTCCTCAAGTCTCCTATGTAGTCCTGTGGGAATGTATTTGCAGCATTCTGACACGCTCTATTCCTCCACCTATGATAGAGTGTTTTCCAGTTGCCACATTTCTTATCTCAAATACTTTGCAGCTCACTAATGTTACTTTCCAGTTTCCTATAGCCAGCCCCTCCCAGTTCCACCAAACTAAGGAACTGAGCACGGTGCTTCTATAATACTCACAGCTCCTGTGAGCTCACAGATAGAGAGTTCAAGTCTCTCACATGGCACTGTAAGCCTTTATCATTAAACTGCAAGGCTGATCAATAGTTCAAACTCTGAATAATATACATGAGAGAGAAGCAAGATTTATTCAGTATATCACAATACGCAGGCAGAAGTGAAGTTTGCAGGAACCAGATGATTTTTATTAAACAGTAGGAACAGAACAACCGGTACATGAAAGAACTAAAAATGCACACACAGCCAATTCATAAACGCGTTGTCAATAAATGACCATATTCTACAGTGAACTTTGCATAGTTAATAATTTCTTATGCTTTGAGATATCTGTTTCCATCCAGTTCTGATGGCACCATTCTGTGTTGATTCCTCTGTTCATGTATAGAGAGCAGGACCTTTGGAGGCTCTTCCTTACTTGTCTCCTTTGCCATCTCTTTTAGAGTCTGCATTAAATAAGGAGATAACCATTATTATTTAAGCACAACACATATATAAAAACACCCTTTTACATTAGAAAGATAAGTTTAGTTTCCACCTCACTTCTCAGTCTTCTCTCCCAAATCATTTCTTTCTGATACCACTGAATCGGAAGCAAGTGCCACCTTAAAGTATTTTGCAAGATATTGCTAGCCCAAAAATTCTCCTTAGACATGAGCCCAATAGCCCTGAACTGGTCATTTCTGAATTTCTTCATAGTTCTCACACCTATAGGAATGAGTATGTATTTGGCTATTTAGCTATTTATTGCAACATAGTCTTAGACGCTTTTCTGAATTCTAACATCAGTTTTGTGCCAAGAAAACCTTAGCAAAGAGCCATGCTCTCCCATTTTCTAATCTAACTGAATATCTTTCATTGTCTGAATTATAAGTGACAGGGAACTGTGCAGTAGCTTGTAAGATGGACATAACTAATTAGTAGGTTTTTCTTTGTAGAAAATACACTATTTTGACTTTTAAAGGTTCCCCTGAGAAGGATCCTTACCAGCAGTTCCAGAAAAGGAGCCAAGCAGCCTGTAGAACAAGAAGAAAATAGTTAGAGCAAAGAAAGATCACAATTTTCAAGCACTAGAACAGAGGATGATACAAGAAAGCAAAGTGTCAATAGGCACAGTTTTAAGAGTCATACATGCTATGCTGCTAATTACAGCTATTTTTGTTCCCCTCCATAAATGCAGCACCTAGGGCAGCTGCCCCGTCACCCCCCTCAGTTATACTACTGTCTACATATGGTGCAAAACAATCCTAACAACATTGGGTTACTTAAACACTGTATAACTAATGATGAATTACCACCTTAACCACTTTACATATGTTTTACTTGTTATCTCTACCCATTGTCTATTTGTCTTTTAAATTTGAAACTGTTTGGGAGCAGAAACTGTGTTCTATTAGTTTTGGAAAACAACTAATATATTGGAAGCATTAGTGGAAAGAGTAAAAATAACAATAGCTGCCAATGCTTAACATAGGCAGTGTGAAATGGCAATTCGTATCTGAAAAGAATGCACGAATATTTGCAGATCTGTAATGCATCCTGCATCACTAACTCACCAGACATTTTAGAGTCTCTAAGCATACTTTATTTTTAATGTGCTGACATGAAAATCACTATAGAAGCATCTTGAAAATATCGCGGTCCTGTCATCTCAAGCTCAAAAGTCTTTTGCACTGGATATGGTTACGTACTGAGAGTCTTGGCCTTCCAGCAGCTGGTGGTAAGTGGCAATCTCTTTCTCCAGCCGGGTCTTGATGTCCATGAGCATCTTGTAGTCACTGTTCTGCCTCTCCATTTCAGCACGGAGATCAGCCAGCTGTGCCTCAATGTTGCTAATCAGACACTGGATCTGTGATAGCTGAGCACCATAGCGATTCTCAGTGTCTGCCAAGGTGCCTTCCAAAGCAGCTTTCTAAGAATATAAAAATTGGAAGAAAAAAGATTTCAAAGTCTGTTACAAAATGCAGGAAGCCCCAAGGTTGAAGTTTAATTACATCTATACCCGGTTTCCTAGCATCTCTTTATATAGTGCAAATGTTGGCCGAAATTGCCACATACCATGCTAAGCTGAGACTGAAGCTCTATCTCTAGCCCTTGGAGGGTACGTCTCAGATCAGTGATTTCAGTCCTGCTGGTCTGCAGTTGTTCAGTATTGACAGCTACTTCTTGGTTCAGCTCTTCAGTCTAAAATGGAAAACATTTGAAAAATGAAGTATAGTTCTCTTGGAGCCCTTTTCTACAAACATGATGAAATTTGTTTACTTTCTTGCACGTTTTTTTTTTTTACCTTGCTATTGAACCAAGTCTCAGCATCCTTCCTGTTCTTCTCAGCCATGAATTCATACTGGTCTCTCATCTCAGCCAGGATTTTGGTCAGATCGATGCCTGGAGCAGAGTCAACCTCAACGCTGACCTGGCCACCTAGTTGCCCTGCGTGGGCATTCATTTCCTACAGTTGACATTGCAGAGAAAGACAGAAGAGGGCACAAAAGTTGTTAAACACATTTGAACTCACAGTGCCTTGGATTCACTGACTTTCCTCAAGGACTATTTCCCAATTGACCATTCTCAAATTATTTGCAGGTGGCAGTTTCTAGTTACTCATTCTGTACTAGAGATCTTTATAGTCTGTTAGGGAAGTCAGAGATAATGCTGAGAAATCCCAGGTTCCCTCATGCCATTTGGCAGTCCTTTTTATGCCTATTTTCAAATGTATTTTACCTCCTCATGGTTCTTCTTGAGGTAAGCCAGCTCCTCCTTCAGATTCTCAATCTGCATCTCCAGGTCAGTTCTGGCCAGGGTCAGCTCATCCAGGACCCTGCGCAGGCCATTGATGTCAGCCTCAACACTCAGACGCAGGCTCTGCTCTGTCTCAAACCTTCCAAAAAAGCAAACCCACAAAACAGAACAAAACCAAGAACTGTTAAAGTATATCTGTATTTCATTTTGCATTTGATTTTGGTTTTTCATCAAATGGAAAGACTATGACATTCAGAATCCAAAATATTTTCACATGGGTGATACAAACAGTTAATTTATGTGACATATACTGTACCAGGCTATTTTTATGTATGGACATTAATGAGATACCTTTAATAGCAGCATAGTTTTGTTCAGACTGGTACTGAGAAGGTTCTGCTTACTCAAATCGGCAAATGCACCTTTTAGCAGGCAAAAGGTGTGTAAAGTGTTAGAACAACTACAGTTGTTCTAACACCTTACACAACTCCACAAAAATGCACAATATCCAATAACTTCATTACTGAAGTCACTTGCTGAATAGTATGGGGATTTTCTTAGATTGCTATCTATTAGCCTATAGGACAAAGTGCTCGCTGCTCAATAAGGTTAATTGAGTCAGCTGCAGAACCCATTCTATATTTTAAATATATGCAATTTTGCTTTTTTAATCAGAAATTGTTCTATTTTAAATATATCAAGTATGAGTGCCATTACCATATACAATGCTTTCAGCAAAAGCATAGAAGTATGAATTGGCAGTAGCAGGATTGAATTTGAGGGTTTTATTTATATTCATTTTGGCTAGTGATATGCATCCAGGGCACTGTGGATGCTGTATGGACATCTGCCTGTTTTTCAGCATCCCATAGCCTTAGAGGAACTTACTCACTTGGTTTTGAAGTCATCAGCAGCCAGCCTGGCATTATCAATTTGCAGAACAATCTTAGAGTTGTCAATGGTGGCAGCAAGGATCTGCACAAGGGAGGCAGCACAGAGAGTGAGACATTGGTTAGAGTGAAATAACAAACTATTTCTCTTCACTTACAAGCAGGGATAAATGACTGAACCTATAGATGTGTCCTGTTAAAATGAATTGTTTTTGGTATGAATAGCAAAGTAGCAGTGTGTTACAATAAACGTGTATCTTTTAAGTACTTTCAGACTGATTCTCATTTACACTAAGATCCCTGTGCACTAGTCTAGGGTCTTCATTTTTATTCCTAAAGAAAGTTATTTTCTCTTTGATCCAGGGCAACGCAGTCTTCAGTTAATATATATTATACTAGGGCTGTCCAACTTCTAAGCAGCCAGGGGCTACCTGCTCCATGGACTACACCAGCATGGGCTGCATCAGTAGAAGCTCTGGGTTGTGTGTATGCCCCCATGCTGCACTACATGCCCAGGTGCCCAGCCTCACCCTTAGCTCCCAGAGATTGGCTTTGTGGAACGTGCCACACTGTACGGCCTTGCCCCTGGGGCAGGGGCAGGAAGTGGAAGCTGAGCAGGGAGGGGGAGCCACAAATCCCAGCTGATGCTTCAACCAGAACGATGGAGGGAGCCATGCCTGGGTGGGAGCCTGAGGGCCACAAATGAATCCCACAAGGACTGCATGCAGCCTGCAGGCTACCAGGTAGACAGTCTTGTATTAGCCCAAGTGAATCTAAGGTATAACTTTATTGAAACTTCTGAATCTAAGCTGGGAGTGGGTTTTTCCCTTTCTAGTGGCAATCTGCCCTTAGGGATCTGATCAACATCTGGCTCAGTGCCCTTCAGTTCCTGAGCTGTAGTATGTCGACCAAGAAATGACTCCTCCACTGGGCAAGTTCACTGAATTCCACTGATGTCAGCAGAGTCCGCCCTGCCACAACATTATGGGACAATAGGGAGATGAACCTATGTTTTGTGTAAAGGAAGGTAACTTTGCTAAAGGAGTAGGTCAGAGATGACAGTGGAGGACTAGGGAAACATACTGAGCAAAGGAGATCTACAGAGCATTCCCAACCTCAGCTTGTGCCAAGCAGGTTGTTTGGTTTTTTTTACCTGCATTATCCCTGACCAGAGATTTCAGGGCCTATCTTAGAAATCAAAACAAAGTGAATTTTGTGTATGGGATACAGTACATAATGCTAGCTAACATTTGGACAGATTGTGAATGTATTTTATCCCCTGGTTTAATCAAGCGGGCAGGTTGCTGTGCTCACCAAGAGCTTCCTCCAAAATCCAAAAGTCACACAGAACGTTTTGTTTACTTAAAAAAAAACTTTCCTGTTTACTTATGCTTGGCAAATTTGCTATTGTGAGACACCTTCGGAAATCAAGAGGTGACCTAGGAAACCAGGTGGGGCTGCTTACTCCCTACAGATGGGAACAGAGAGCACAGGATCAATAGAAGCCAAAAGAGGGAATCAGCTTTGCTCACTTGACCTTGGAGTTCTGAAATCGGGACAGTATGTGCATGAGTTAGGCCAAGGGAAAGGAAACTATGGGGTGGTGTCATGTACTCACAGCTAAAATGTGAAAAGTAAACTTCAGATTTGTTCAAGAGTCACTGTTTACTTAGCACAGTCAGTTACTGTGTGTGCTTTGCAGGGTGTGTGCTTTCAGAAACAATGCAATAATGAGGCAAAATATATCCTCCATTTATATATGAGATTAGTTAATGCCTGTTCCTTAAGTATTTAAACACCGTCTTCTTTGAAATCCAGGGTCCATGGATAAAAGGCAAGCAGCATGAACTGAGCCACTTTTGGGGAGGGCAGCTCGCAAATCTAATAAACAATAGAAAACCTTAATTCTCAGTGATAAACTTCTGAAATGCTGCCATTCACAGTTGCACAGTCTTCTCTTTGTTCAGTTCTTATTTTAACTGTAAATATGAACTAGGAAATTAGCAACTAACTGATCTGTTACAACACCTCACACTGGCTGTCCAGAGACTTGTAGTGGCTTGTAATAGGCAGAGAGCTGCAGAGGTAGACAGGTGCCTCCAGTAGTTTGACATCATTTAAAAGGTTGCTTCCTTTTTCTTTTCTTTTTTTTTTTTTTTGCCAAATTTATTCATTTAAAAAAAATGGGTACTATGCTGACTGACTCCAGTAAGACTTTATCCACGTACACTAAGGATAACTCACTGCAGTGCAATAAGCAGATTTATTTCTGGATTGATGAGGGCCATTGTGGCCCTCAGAGCCATTTGCCACTGACTTTTCAAGGTGAACATTATACCAAATATAAGCAGTGAGAAAAGCTCTGGCTGACACTTGCTCAGATTTTCTTAGCTAACATTTTTAATAGCAGGTACATATACTAAACATTGTCTTATCTACCCTTTCTGATTCACGATATACTCACACCACTCTCCTGTTCCCCCTTCCACTTCCCCCCCAAAATCCAAGATCCCTTCTGACTGATTTTCTACTAAGGCTTTATTGTTTCTTATAAACTTTCAAACTTGCTATTCAGGCTGAATAAATTTTTCACTGTTGCCAGAAGTTATTCACTAAACAGATGTCATCATTTATGGATAATAATGATGGATTTTAATACTAGGAGCCACATCAATATATAGTGCTTTTATCATTTTCTGCTTTTTAACAAGCTTTTAACACCTACCTTATCTCGAAGATCTTCAATCGTCTTGTAATAAGGGCTATAATCACGAGATGGCCCAGGTCCTTGTTTCTGGTACCAGTCTCGGATTTTAATTTCTAGCTCAGAATTTGACTCTTCCAGAGCACGCACTTTGTCCAGGTAGGAAGCCAGACGGTCATTCAGGTTCTGCATAGTTATCTTTTCATTGCCAGAAAGGAGACCATCGCCACCACCAAGGCTACTAGCGAATCCACCACCAAAACCAGCACCAAAGCTGCTGCCATAGCCACCACCATAGAACCCACCACCACCATAGAACCCACCACCTGCACCAGAAGAGACAAACCTAGCAGAAGAGACAGAGACACGCTGACCACCAGATCCTCCATGGATACTTGGAGACCTGTAGGAACCTCCACCAAAATGGGTGGAAGAACTACCAAGCCCCCCTGACACGGATGAGGCGGTCGGCCTGAAGCTGAAAGTGGCCATGATGAGAAGATATCAAGGGTTCAGCCCCAAGCAGTATTTGCGCTGTTTGTGACCTGGAAGCAGGAATGTAAGAGCCTTTCCTTCACCTGCCTTCTTTTATGCCTGCAACAATGGGAGTTGTCCGGAGAACATGATATACGAGCCCTGTGGAATTTACCAGCCTTAAGCCTTTTGCCAACACAGAAATTATTCTCATTGGTCAGTCAGCATGAAGTGGGATGTTTCTTTTATAAATACTTTCAACCATTCCAGAGTCCTTTATTTTCTTCTTCCCCCACCCTTCTTTTTCCTCTTCAAACAGAAGGTGGGTTTCACGGTAGGTGGCCCTCTGCACTGAAGGATATTTGTTGATTTTGAATTGAGAATGAAAGTTACTTAATTTGAAACAAAAGGCCTTTAAGCCCACACCACTGCTTCACTGTACACAATGCCTCCATTATGAAGTCACCTAAATATTTTTCAGGTAAATCTCAAAGGAATTTTTTGATTGCAGATAGTAGCTGGTAGGATACTAATGGAGTTTTGTCTGAGAGGAGCTGAAATGGCCAGCACAGCAGCATGGTGTTAAGAGAGGCTTGGATAAACAGATTCCCATTGCTTACCCATTTTTTCCATTAATTCTCTTTATGAAAACTCCTCTCTTCAGGGGAAAACTCTTTCAAAGACTATTTGCCTCTTTGCTCTTATTTCCTTTTAGGATTACAAGGGGATCCCTGTACATGGGGATTGATGGTGGAAATGGAAAAGTCTGTTTCTGTTCAGAAATGAGATTCCTTTTTAGGGCAGTATGGCTGAAAGGGCCCTAAATCAGATATTCCTTTAAAATGTCTTTCTGGTGTAAACAGCACAGTGACACCTGTGTATATAAAGTTCATCCTTTCACTAACAAAGCACATGAGTGCCAGTGAAATCAGGGAAACAGGAGCAGATGGAGCATAATTCCTTACTTTTCTAGCTCCTGACAAGGAAGAAAATGTTATTTCTAGATAAGGTAAAATGCTTTATTATCTAAAATGAATTGGTCACAAAAGCTTTGCTATTGGTTCCATTGACTTCTCTGTGAACACCTTTAAGTGAAACTCCCTTCTATCTTTTTGGTGCTTTGCTCTTTCTTCTGCTCTCTTTCCTCAGTTTCCATCCCCAAAGCTGTCCAGAAAGACAGGAGTACTTTACTGAATAGAAGGAGTGCAAGTGAGGCCACCATTCCCAGGAAACTATCCCTTAATACCACTTTGAATGGGAATAGCCATTCCAGGTATGGATAGATTCTGCCATTTGGAAATGCTTCCAATAAAGGGAGCATGCTAAGAGACAGATGACAGGTCATGACACTTCTAGGGGTCAGGGTGGAAAATCTAAATAATAAAAACATAAGAACGTTAGTGATGAGCCAAATAAAATACCTAATCTGTGTCAGTGCTTGTGCATAATCCTCACAAGCATGTTGAAATGCAGCAGGTGATTAGAAGGACACAGCAATGTTACACACAGATTGTACAAAGGGAAATGTTAAACACCCAGGGCAAGTGTAGATAAAGAAAGAGAATAAATACCCAAGTTACTAACTGGGTATTGGCCAGGATGTCTGGTCAACAGCTTTCTTTATTCTTCAAAAAATGTCTGTGAACAGGCACTGCAGGTTTTCCCTGCTAATCCTGACAGGTAGTTTCATAGTTGGTAGAGTCGGAAGGGACCTGAGCAGATCATCAAGTCCAACCCCCTGCCATGGCAGGAAAAAGTACTGGGGTCAAACAACCCCAGCAAGGTGTTCATCCAGCCTCCTCTTAAAGACCCCCAGGTAACACAGTCAGGGACAAGAATTTCCACACTTCATACTCAATCAATCGTTTTGACTCTCTTTTGGGACATGAAGAAGCAGCACTATACAAAGTGAAATTACAATCCAATTTACATAGTATATGTAATGATGGTGCCATGTATCAACTAGGAACTGTACCAAGACTATCAGTTTGCCAATGGTCAAACATCAGACAAAAATGACTTTAGTAGAGGTACACTGATATATCAGTCCCATATTGGATAGGCACCAATATAAGAAAAATTTACTGTATCAGTGTGGCAGGACACTGGTTGTGCCTGCCACTTTAAGGGCCTGGAGATGGCAGCTGCCAGGTGCCTGATTAGGACAGCTGTTTTGGAACTGGGGCTCCCCATATAAACATGGCAGTTCTGCTGCTGGAGGCCAGGCAATAACATTGCCTGGCCAGAGGGCTCCTGATATCATCTGGAGGTAAGGGGATGGATAGGAGGCTCCTGGTCCTGGGCATGATCTAAAACTGCACCCTGCTGGGAGCGGGTGACCTGGTGCGGCTCTCAGTGGTGCGGGAGCCCCCAGGAAATACCAGGCCAGTTACTACCCCAATTAAAGGTGAGTCGGGGTGCCTTAACCCCTAGCCCCCATGAGCAGGTGGGTTATCCCTTTGTTTGGAGGGCCCAGAGGGTGGACCCTTTGAGAGAGAAAAGGGCCATAGACTCAGGCCTGTCTGAGTTTCCCCTGACTGGCCCATACTGGGGCCAGGACTGGTATGACAGCGAAAGAGGTCGCCTGAGGAAGAGGAATCCAGGTGGGGTTCAATAGGAGGATTCTGGGGCCCACTGTGGAGGCCAGTGATTAAAGGAACATCGAGATGCCATCTGTGAGGTTTGGGCTGCGGTATAGGGGAGGAAAGGAACCGCAGATAGTGCCCCCTGGCATCAGGGCAGAAAATGGGCAGCCTCCTGCTTGATTAACATCTATTAAATAATTAGCATCAAGGCGTGGTGTACGAGAATGCGGGTGGTTAGCCCAGGAACCAGTGGGCGGGCCACACAGAGACTGGCCCCAAGCAGGCCCCCCTATTACAATCAGCAATTGACTTTTTTTGACTGATGTGGCTAATAATACCATCAATAAATGCCACTCAGCCACAACGCAGCATACAGGTGGCCAAGAGCACAGCCTGGCAGCATGGAGAGAAGCCAGGTCCAGCTGGTAAGTCTGTTGTGAGGGAAGGGGCGGGGGGGCAGATCAAGGGTCCCACGGGGAGGGAGGGAGTGGGGGTGGGGCTGGGGCTGGGGCAGGGGCAGGTGCTACACTACCAGGAAGAGCATGGGATGGAGCCATGAGTGTCTTGTCTGGTGGATGTGGGGGTGGGGGGTTACCAGTGCATGCATTCCAAGGGAGGCTTGGGGAGCGAGTGCCGCTGGATCTGTGCAGGACAAGGGTGGGCTGCTGCTTCAGGCTGGGTCTGGGGTGGCACCAGGCTCTTCCCACAGAAAGGTTGGGCTGGGGTGCACTCCCTCACAACAGACTTACCAGCTGCGCTCCCCCACAACAGACTTACCAACTGGACACTGCTCTCCATGCTGCCTGGCTGCATATTGGAATCAGATCAGTATCTGCCAATATGGCTCATTAAAAATTGGCAATTGGTATCGGCCCAATTATTCTCTATTGGCACACCCCTAATTTTAAGTCATTGGTTAATAGTGGACCAGAATCTACAATTTCTATATTCTATTATTGACCCATAAGACATTGTTATTTCCAAAAATAATTTGCTTATCAGAAACTGGGGGTTTTAAGGATTAAGTAGATTGAGTCATAGTTTAGACATTAACTTTAGTGATGCCTGCAGGTCTGAGTACTCTTTTTTGGAATTCAAGTCATAGAGGAGAATAACTTGGATTAACACAAACTGTGAGTTATAATTCAATTTCATAAATCTCACTTAATTGCTATCTGGGTTAGTTTGGGATTTTTTCCTCGCACAAGTGTTGCTTGTCCACAGCTTGAGGTGCAGTTCCCCCCAAACCCATGCATCTATCACCTTGAAACTTGGCAGGCTTTGTGGCCTCACCAGAGGCCACCACCCCTGCTGTTTTCATCCCCTGCGGTGTAACACACAGCCGTGACAGGAGTTTGGCTTTCAAGAATTTGGGGTACAGTTGCCACCAAACCCCTGAACCAATCTTCTTGAATCTTGGCAGACTTCATTCTCTCAGTAGAGGCTACCATCCCTGCAAGTTTCATCTAAATCAGACAAAAAACAACAAAGTTAGAGATATTTCATTGATTCCCCATTATACCCTATAGCCGGATCTCTGAGGCGGCTCCAAAGCTTCAGAGCCACTTCAGCCGGATCAAGGCAGAAACCTGGTCCGGAGCTCCAGATTGGACTGTGGCCATCCGAAGTGTCCGTATCCAAAGCCTAATTGGAACACTGCCGACTCGCACAGGCCTACTAGATAGGACTCACTGTATCCTGGGTAGAACTGAGTCTTGTGGCCTAAACAGTTGAGACGCTTCTAATTCTCTCTGCTGGTGGTTTTTGCAAAGTGTCCCATTCCATATTTGGGGCAGATACTTTTTCCAACACAAGACCCTCTGGCTCTGCCTGTGGTCACTCTCTCTCCCTCTACATTCTTTGTTTACAAAGGCAAAGGCCAGAACGTGAAGGAGACAATGAAACATTTATTATTTTTCAAAATATGTGTTTGTTCCAACTTTCCAGGAAGTAGAGTATTTTGGTGAGAAACACAGGGTGTGGACACATACATTTGAAGCCCTTTTAGAAGGGCAGCTGCTGCTATGTTGTAATTATTATGTAGAAGGCAGGTAGGGTGGCACCTTGAAGACTAACTTGTTCAGAAAAGCGTAAGTTTTGTCATATGATACAGCTTATTAACATGGTCTTTCTTACCCCACTATCTGAACATTTCCCTTTCTTTTTCAATGTTTTATACAAATGTTGCTTATCTAATACCCTACTATACTGTCCTTCATCACTTTGTCCTCTGACAGCTTGTTATAGGTGCTTGGTTATACTGTTTGTCTTGATTCTTGGAGCAGAAAGCCTGTAAGTTGGTAACTGTAATTCTAGATACCCGTGTTGTTAAATATTGTGGATTTCCAGTATGAGTTACAAAATAAAATCCAGCTGTTCTTTTGAAAATTCTCAGATACATCTGTATGCTGTGGTTGTATGCATAGTGGAGGCAGAAATAAACATCTGAAATGCAGGGTAAGTCACCCAGGATTGAGTATGTATGACAGTAAGATTGTTAAGTGGTAACTTACAACCTC